CCCGCCACTTCCGGTCAGAACAACGAGGGACGCTGTCCTCGCAGGAGCAGGAATCGGACTGGCAGTGAGGGGAAGGGTCAGATCGGCAGATCCAGTCGATCCGCTGTTCGCAGCTGCAAGGTGTCCTTCATGCTCGCTTCCCAGCAAACGTATCGCTTCTGTCCTGCCATGACTGCTGCGTCATGCCATCTTCTTCTTGCACTTGCACGACTGACACCAAGCCCACCTGAGCATCAAGTCTCGCGGCAGGCCCGAATGGGCCCCACGCTGCGACTTCGGTGCAACTCCCTTTGAAGCCTTATCGATGCTACAAAATCTCTCCGCACCGCGACGGCTGAATTTCACCGAGAAGACGCCGCTGCCTTCATTTCTGCGGGCCCCGACAAAGACATCTCTGCAGCTTCACACTCTTCGAATGACGCTTTCAGGGCGGCCAACAATGAGCGTGGTGGGCTCAAGGTCGGGCGTGTCTCGCTTGTGCCTCGGTCTGATGTCAAGCTTTGTGCAAGCCGAATCGGCTGCCGATCCGACTCATGAGATCGACCAGATGAGATCGAGCAACCTAGCTCTAGCGCCACACTTACACAGCTAAGGATGCAGCAGCTTCATGCGATGAGAGTGAGCAAACTGGGTGTATGATTGGAACACAGTGTCCTGCCAAAAGCGATCTAGAAGCCCTTGTCGTACTTGCCCGAGGCATAGAAGCTCTTCATATGAGCCACAATCTTCTCCAACGCGGCGAGCCACTTTTCCAACTCCTCCTCGACCTTGCTCTGCGGCTCGCCGAGCTTGGCGTAGAAGTCCTTCCTGTACGGGCACGCCTTCATGGCGAGCGAAAAGATGGGGCGCACGAGCATGCCGTGGTGTGGACGCAGCGTGGTGCCGTAGGCGTTGGTGAAGCTGGTGGCCAGCTCCTCGTTCTTGTTGTTGACCGAGTTGCGCATTGCTTGGGCGGTAAAGTCAAGGCCGCGGAGGAGCCACATGAGGCCCTCGGTGGCAGGACGTTTCGAGGTGCCACCCGGTCCTTCGTTTTGGATCAGCTTCTCGAGCGTACCCGACTTGGCAGCGCCCGTCGCATTGAGGCGCGTGTTGACTTTCTGTTATCGTCACGGAACATAGAAGGGGTCAGAGATGGATGCGAAGGCAAGCAAGCGTTGAGCCACCGGGCTTCCTATGTGAGCTGGCTTGGGGACAACATCGAGAGAGTACTTACTGCGATATTCCCGTTCATGTCGTTCTGCACCACCTTGAACGCCGAGTTGCCAAGCAGATCGAACAGCTTGACGAGACCCTCAGCTGCTTCGAGGAAAGCGACTGTGTCGACGCCGCCCTCGGTGGGGACATCCGCGAATGACTGTCGGCCCATGCGAGAAAGATGAGTGGCAAACGTCAGCATGCTTTCGATCGATGGCGTTTGTCGCTGATCCTGGGCCACTTACACGCTTGCAAAGCTCAAAGTATGTGGACATCTTGCAGCAGTATCTTGAGCACTCCGTTCAGATGGATTGATGGAGGGTGATGGAGGTCGAGATGATGATGAGGGTGAGCTAAACACCAAAGGCACAAGTCACGCGAGGGAGTGTGGGGGCCGTGCTCGAAGAACGGGAATGCAATTCGAGGCACGGGAGCGCGAAGTGTTGGTTTGCGAAGAATTGGGCTGCAAAAGTCTAAATTCGTGGGCAGCAGCTGGCAGATCCCGTTTCTGGCTCAGCCAGCCCCTGTTTGCCGAACGGACCTCGCCGGTGTCCGCTGCAGGGGCGGTGGGGACGGTGGGGCTCGCAACAAGCTCATCATCCGTCGGAGCCGGTGCCCCTTACCTCATCGAGCATCGACCTTGGGCAAGACTGGAAGTGATGCGGATCAGGGCGATGAGGCACATGGCGGATTGAGCCGAGGCATGCTATCTTCCACTCAACACACGCAAGTCGGCGAGGCGGGTGACCGGCTCGACCAGTAGGAATCAGCGAGAATGTATTGCGAGCAGTGAGAGGATGTCGAGAGGGTCAGGAACCGACCTGACAATGTACAAGTGTTCAGAGCAATGCAGTCCGAGCAGCGAAGAACCACCGAGCCTCTGTTCAGAGCTTGGCCGACGGCGAGCGTTCGATCTTGGCTTTGATGTAGCCGCTAGGATGCGCGGTGGGCAGGAACACCTCGGCATCCTTCTCGTCAAGGTTGCTGAGACCCTTGAAGCCCAAGTCGATGGGGATGTAATGCTTGTTGGGCAATGCGAACGAGACATCCTGCACCGTCGTGTTGGCAGCGTCGCCGAGGATGGCCTCGCCCATGCGGTACATGGTCGCCTGGACGCTCGCCGAGTCATCGAGCGAAAACACGCGCAGGATGTGCGACTTGACCGAAGACTGGATCTCGCAAAAGTGCGGCAAGGACGATGCGTTCTTGAGCACAGCAGTGAGTCCCCCCTTAGGCACAGCGATCGAGTAGGAGCATTCGACCTCCGTAGAAAAGATGCGGTCGCGCACTTCCTTGAGCGTGGTGAAACTGTCCCTGTGGAAGCCGTAGAAGGCGCTTCCGCTGCTCTTGAGCACCAGCAGACCCTTGATGCCGCCTTCGAGCGTGGTCACGTTGATCTCGCTGCCGGATCGCTCTCCTAGCGCTCGCACGGTGCGCTTCTCCTCGCCGTCGCGGACAAAGCTGTGCTTGTGGGCGCCGCCATCCTTCTGATCCAAGACGATGCGCGTCCACTTGTGTTGGATGAGATCGACCTCGGTCTTTTCGATATGCGAGTAGGTGGAGAGGAAGTGGTTGACCACGTTGAGGGCGTATCGCTCGGGGCAGAGGACGTCTTCGGCCGGCAGCACCTTGGCGAGGTAATTGAGCGTGTTCTTCACCGTGTCGGTGGCGACGACGGGCGAATTGTCCGCTTCGGTGTACGAGGGTGTGAGGCTCTCACCGTGGAGCAAGCAGCGCACGGTGTACTCGGCGACACGATGCGACGAAGGGTCCTTGGAATCACGCACGATGCGGAAGATGCGGACCAGATCCTTGCCGTACGAGGCAGACACGAGGCGGACGTTGGACGAGGAAGCCTTGGCAGACATTGTAGGACGATGTAGCGGAAGCGAGGGGGGACGACGAGCTTGCGGGGTATGATAGCCAAAGATGATAAGCGGGCAATCCGAGCACTGAAGACGGAAAGTTGAGTTGGCTGCGAGCAGTTGGTGGCGGAAGGGGTCGCCGGTAGATGTGTGTAGTGGTGGCTATATAGGTGGTCAAGGCTAGCAAGCGGGGAGAGCGTTGTTGCGGGTGAGATGCGAGCAAGGTTGCTCGACGAGGGCCTTGAACGATAAGGATACGGGAGCGGCAATTCCTCGGTCGGGGCTCGAGCTGCGTCTTTCTCAGCTGGCTCGCTCGCACAGAATCCTAAATTTGAGCGAATTCAGGGTCCTACGTTGCGAGCAGCCAGGCGAGGTCAGCGGTGCCTTGACTGACGTGCTTGCTCGTGTGGGCGTATCTTGCCGTGGTTGCTCCCGAGCGTGAGACTGGCTTTCAAGGATTCGGCTCAAGCCGAGCGTGGTTTGTGTGTCTGTGTCGATGCAGACAAGCAGACAAGGCTTTCCAGCCTATTCGGAACAGGCAGAGCAAGCAAGGTCCGTCCTCTCTGATTTGACTGCCGACGCAAATCTGCAGGTCCAGAGCCAGTACGGAGTTCGCCGAGGACAGGACCCTGGAGAGGCACGCAAGGGTTCATCTCAGCGGAACGAGCAAACCTTGAATGGCGGCTTTCGTCATCGCATCGGTACCGTACGATGCTCGTGCCACGGCTTCTTGAAGCCATGATGGCAGCTTCGAAGACGAGCAAACGTAGTCATATCTCATCCAACCGACTCGGCATCCCTAGGCTTGTGCTTAGGCAAACGATCTAAGCTCGACCGGGCCTTGTCTCGCCGTGACTCGAAAGCATGCTATTGTGGAGCAGCAACTACGATCTAGCTCCAGTAGAGCTTGCCCTTTCTTGCAAGCCAGACGTAGCGGGAAGAGTGGCGCTGGGCATGTGTCCTTCGAGCCGACCACGAAGCTACAAAGTAAACTTGCCATGTGGCTCGGAGAAGGCCGAACCTGTATTTCCACCGTGGATACTCGGCCGTTGCCAGGGAACCGACGAGTAAGCCATCTTGACCCCGCTTTTGAGCATGCAAACGTCTCAGCCCATGCTCAGCGGACTATGCATCGTTTCGCATCAGGGTTCTCTCTTTGCTCTGTGCCAAACACCATGTACAGGCAAAGGCAAGGTAGGCCTAGACTGCCTTCGACGAACGCGGAAATTCAAATCGGGAGATCCTCTTCGTATCTACCCGATCTGGAGCTCAACACGCCTGCCATGGCGCGTGCCACGGTAAGGCGGACAGGTCCTTTTGGCGTGTCTGTCAAAAGTCAAAAAAGGGTTCGGTGCAGCGGCAGCGCGTTGACGCGGGTCCAACACCATCATCCAGCTCGTCGCCAACATTCTGATCGTGAGCGAACACCTTTATCGCACGGCGCTGCTGCACAACAACATTCCCGATGATTCTTCTGCGCTCGCCTTGAACGCTCGAACATACAGTCTCTTCTCCGCCTCGATCCCATACAGCTGGCCCATGCTGCTTGTAGCCAACACTGTCGTTTCGTAGACACCATTCATCATGGAAGCAGCCATCTTCCTCGAGCGCACAACACCTTCCCGATCTACAATACCCAGCGCGGCACAGTAAATGCCCTCTCCCGTCCGCTCGCGAGATGAAGCAACGGCCTACTCGCCTCTGCGCAACGCCTTTGCTTCATCGTCCACCCCCAAACCTTTGCACAGTCCTTTCCTTCCTCGCAATCGCCTCCGTCCGAACGAGTCGTACACCCGTCTCACGCCACAGCCGGATGCCATCTCAACGTCGAGCAGCACGCTTGTCAATGCCGAGTCCACAGACGGCTATCAACCGTGGGAGGTGAGGTCCGAGTCGAGCGCCAGTTCGTTGGATTCGCTCGGCAGCGGGGCCACACCGACCCTGCAGACGCTCGACGATATCGGCACGCTGCCGTCGATTCATATCACTCCGCTTGTACGTCGAGCGAGAAGGAGCAACGGCAACGGCTCGACGACAAGAAGTGCAGAGAGCACGGGAAGGGTGAAACCAAGGAGACAGCTCTGCCCCGACGACTGCCGCTGTTCCGATCAGGACATTGATCTGGGTCTCTGTCGACGCGTGGTGGGATCTTCCTCGTCAGGGTCCGATTCCGGATCCCTGTCCGTCGGCGTACACGCCATGACGCGGAGAGGATCAGCAACGATGACGACAACGTCCGAGCTCACAGGCAGACAGAGCCACACCACAAATGGCACACACCACCCAGACCATTCTCAACAATCTTCACATTCGCAGTCAGAACCCCGCTCGCAAGGGCGGGACTTCGAAAAGGACCCTGTCCTCGTCCCTCGCTCCGCACGATCCAGGAGCAGCATAGGTCGCTCCCCGACCTCGCCTTACCAGCGCTCGTATGACCAGCTCCAGCGCGGCCTCGACACGCTCGAACTCGACGAATCCGATGCCGAGAGCGATGCTGAGCAAGCGCTCGCCGCGCAACGTCGTGCAGAGTCGATGGCGCGGTGGACAGCCCGTCGCTCCACTCTGCTCCAGTCCAAGTCACCAGCTAGCAAACTCGATACATCTCTAGACCCCGCTTCGTCGAAACCCTCTCCAATGCGCTCGACACCGCGATCGCTGACATCCGACGCCTCGCCCAAGCCATCAGACGCATCCGCCACGCCGCTCAAAGCCACCCCAGGCCGAAGAAGCATAGCAGCGGTGTTCGAGTCGATGCAGAAGGAGCGTGAGGCGCGCGCCGCGGAGGAGCAGAAGCAGTGGGCGGACAAGCAGGCCAAGAGGGAGCGCGAGAGGGCGGCGAGAGCATTCGGTGTGCTTGGGAGGAGGAGGTTGTCGGTGGACAGCTCGCAGATGGACAGTCCGAAGTCGATAGGAAGCTCAGCGTTCGCAACACCGGCGAGTGTGGGGGGCACGACGGTGTTTCAGTCCATGAGGGAGACTCCTTCGCGGTCGACGGGCGGGAGTGCTTTCAGCGGTTCACCGATGCTATCGAGTTTGGGGTCGGCTAAGGTGGACGAGGAAGGGGACGCGCGGTCTCTACAGCTCAATGAAGAGCATGCGCAGCCTCAACAGCTCAGCAAAGAGGCTGCGGAGGCATCCGAAACGGTAGAGCCGGACGAGGTCAGCGCAGACGACGTCGACCCAATACCTGCCGCAACCACAAGTCCACCTATCGAAGACCCACAATCACAACCGCCCGCACAGCACGCCCCAGGCTTCACCTATTCGCCGCAACCCATGGCGCTCTCTCCCAACCGCAGCGATCCCTCCTCTGCTGCCTCCACCCCTGCCTCCTCCCCGCGCAAGAACGCGCATCGGCGCCAAGTAAGCACGCTCAGCGTCGTCTCTCGCACGCCTGCTCGTCAGCTCGATCACTTGATCGCGCAAGACTCGCCACACACGCCGAGCGGCATCCTATCCTCCGCGAAAAAGGGGTCCGCTCGCCGCGGGCACAGTGTTCGGTTCAGCCCCAGGCCCGATTATCGCTCGGATTCCGGGTCGTGGGATGAGAGCGCGGTGCTTGGCGAAGGTGAGGGAGGCGGACTGTTGCCGGCCAAGGAGATCGTCCTGCCAGCGATCCTGGCGGAGGCTTCGACACCAGCTTTGACAGCGGCGGAGCAGGAAGACGAGGAGGCGAGTCGGGAAGGTTCACCGATACCTCAGACGCCTTCGCCGCAGAGCGTTGGTGAACAGCATACACCCTCACCCCCACCCCCACTCCCGATTGTGGAGGCCACCACCTCCTTCTCTCACACGCTCCACCCACCCGGTGCCTACGCTTCACCTCTCAAGCCGTCACGCCACATCATCCGCCCGAGTCCCAAGATCACCCGCGTCCTCCCTGCTTCGCTCACCACCGCTGGTGCACCGCTGCGTGGTCTGTTCGCCGACTCGCATTCCGCGCTGCCGCGCTCGTCCACGCCTCCACCCCAGCTCAAGCGCTCGACGACGCCGCCGATGCTGCCACCCGCGCCGGCTCTGCGCTCGCCCCGGTCGCCGCGACCTGTCGATCTGGGACTGGAAGGTTTTGCACCCTTTTCCCCTGGCTCTTCCGATGATTCGGCGGGTTCCGTGCGTGGCACCTTGTCCGAGATGCTGACGACGCTTCAAGCGGGTGACAGGGGGCGGCGGGAGTTTGGAGCGCGGCTCGGGGAGGCGGCTCGCCAGCTGGAGCGCGTTCGTTCCAGCCCACCCGTGGTGCGGTCTGGCGAGACGCAGCCGTGGGAGCGCTTCGAAGACGCGGATGAGCGGGATAGAGTGGCACAGTTGAGGGAGGAAGTCATGGCGGCGCTTTCCGTCCTCGCTGAGCGCCTTTCGCACCCGCCTCCCACCACCGTCCAGAAACGCCTGGGGCGAGGGCAGAAGCTCCTCCTGGTGCTACTGCAGTGTGCGCTCATCGCATATCTGCTCAGTCTAGCAGAGCGCAAGGCGGCGCACTTGCGAATGTTCCACCCCCCGACAAGCCTCCACTATCAGGGGGAAATCGATTGGTCCACAATGCCAACAACGACCCTCCAACCGGTGCTGCGTCTGCCTCTGCTCGACCAGCTGTGGCGCCTAAATCCGCCCCTACCCGCCCGAGTCGCCGAGTGGAAGACGTATTCCGCCGTGAACGGCGTCCCTCAGCTACTCGCCCAGGTCGCCATCTACGGCGTGTCCCAAGCGACAGCATGCATCGTGCTGCTAGCTCTGGCCCCACTCCAGGTCCTCTGGCTCGTCATTCACAGCCCAACCGCCATGTAAACACCTCCCTTCCACCGCATCCTCGTTCCTGTCGATGATACCCTCCCCCTCCCCTTCTGCTCCATTGTATTCACACGTGTACTTGTACCTCTCACCCCCCCGGAACCCTCTCTCTCTTGACACACACGCTCAAACAGTGATGGGTGAGTGATGCTATTTGCGACGGTGACGCCTTTTTGAGATTGATTGGTGGTACATGCTATGCTGATTATAAGAGTTGAATGCTAATTTGTGGGACGGCAAAGATCGTTGAGATCGTAACTTTTGGGGGGTTCGGAGACACTTTTGAGTGTTCAACATCGAATGGTTTTTCAGGTACGAAGGCTGGTTCGACCGCGAGCGACGGTGGACTCGAAGCTTCCGCCAGACGAGACGGACTCGTCGCGCTCATCGTCGCCGTCGAGTTCGAGGTCGACATCGTCAAAGCCTGGGTCGGTGAATTCGGGGTTGGCGCGGCCGGTGCGGGAGCGCTGAGATCGCGACGGCTTGGCAGCGGGCGCAACGAGCTCCTTCTCGCCCCTGTCCGAGGCAAGGTGACCGTAGCCACCCCAAGTGACCTCGCAGTCCTGCAGGATCCAGCGCGATCGGGAGCGCGAGGTGGAGCCGCGCTCCTGAGAGCCTCGGCCTCGTCGCGTGCTCCTGCCGCGACCACGACCACGCGTGTCGTCGGAATCGGCTTCAGGAGCAGCGGCAACCTTGCGGTGGCCCAGCACCTCCTTCTCGGAGATGAGCGCCAGAGGCGAAGGACGCTGCGGCAGGGCGGATCGGAGCTCCTCGTCGTGGTGGTAGGCGTCGTCGCCGCTGGATCGTCGACCGTCGCGGGCCATCATCGAGATCGAGATGGGTTGCGAGCGAGGCGAGATGGGAGCAGGCGAAGCTCGGCTGACCTCGTCGACCAGCGAAGAATCGCGCCTGGCTGCAGCTCGAGGCGGGCTAGGGCTGCGGCGGTGCGAACTCCTGCCACGAGCCTTGGATCGGCCACGCGGGGGAGTAGCGCGCACGTCTTGCTGTCCGTCCTCGACGGCGGCGTCGCGGTGGGGACGGGAAGACTCGATGCGACGGCCCTCGCGCTCTTGCGGCTTGTCCGCGTCGGCGACGAGCGCGTCACGCGACTCCATATGCGTGAAGAAGAAGCCGGCAGCAGCGCTGTGCGAGTGCTTGTGGTACTGCTTGATGCTGCGGTATCGCTCCTCCGACTCGCGACGAGGCGATGAGGAGAGGCCACGCGAGTTGGACGACTTGAGACTGCTGCCGTAGACGTTGTGCTCGCCGGAGAGGTTCGAGATGGTGCGGCATCGGTCGCAGCCAAGCTCGGTGCTGATGGGGCTAAAGTTTCGCGAGCTGCTGGTGGGGCTGCCGCCACGCAGCGTCTTGCCGGCCGACGAGGCCAGCGAGTGCGAGGGAGGTGGCGATCGCGTGTCGAGCTGCTCGGAGCGTCCTCGGCGTACTGCGAACGTCTTGCTCTGACTGGTGCCCGCTGCCAGCTGGAAGGCCTGCGAGAGAACGTCCTTGGCTGACTTGCGCGTCATGGTGGCCTCGGCATTGCTGGGTCGTCCGCGCACGTCCTCGGTGCCAGTCGATGTCGATGTCGAAGGAGTCGTGCTGGCTCGGTGGTCTCGCCTGATGGCGGTGACCATGGTGGTGGCTGTGACGGCAGGCGAGGTGTAGTAGCTACCGCGTGCGTTGGTGTTGCTGGGTCGGCGTGCGTACCAGAGAGGAGACTTTGGTGTGCGGCCATCCGCGTTGATGGGGTGGGGAGCCGTCGCAGCGCGCGAGGACGATCGTGCACGCGATGACGAGGACGAGGACGCGGCAGAGCTCTTACGCAGCATGACGGAGCTTGCTGTGCTGACCGAAGGCGGAAGCTGGAAGTCGTGCGCATCGAGGTCACTCGACTCATCCTCGACAGGCTCGTAGGCGGGTGATGGTGTCGACGGATCGGTGCTGGCGAAGGCGCTTTGGCTGCCTCCCGACTCCGAGATGGAGGAGAAGGTGGACTGCGAGCTGCTTCGCTTCTTGGTGTGACGCGCGCCTTCGACGCCAGCGTCGTTGGAGGTGGTGGAAGCAAGGCTGAAGCGACCTCGGGATACGGGTAGCGAGCTCTGATATGCGGCGAGAGCGGGTGATGTGAGGTAGGTGGTGCGAAGCGGTGCTGACATTTGAGCGAGCAGGCTGGGGGAAGGCGGGCAAGGGTAGCGGAACTTGACGCCATTGTCGCCCTTGCTGAACTCGTCGGAGGGGGGCAGAGGCGAAGCCAGGCTCTCGATGAGAGAGGCGTGCGCTACCTCGCTAGCGTCGGCGAGTTTGCAAGCTTCGGAGCAGAAGAGCTTGCCGTGGGGTGTCGAGGCACCGCAGTTGGTGCAGACGTCGTCACCCAGCCACGACGAAAGCTCGTCGGCAGGTGTGGTGCGAATCTCTGCGATCTCGGAGTCCTTGCGACCCACACGGGCAAGCGAACGTCGGTAGATGCCGGCCATGACGGATGCGATGGTGGCTAAAAGTGCTCAAGCTATCTAGCAGTAGCGAGAGAGTCTGATGGGCCGTGGTGAAGGCGTGTCGCCTTTAGGGACGGAGTTGGAGTCAGTCGATGTCGGTTGAGGGGCTGGATGTAGTAGTGGGCGGGGTGAGGGTTGGTTGAAGTGTTGGAAAGAAGAAGGCGCGAGAGCGCTGGAAGGCTGGTGTTATAAGGTAGGAGCAGAGTCGAGCACTGGTCGCAAGTGATGCGAAGGAGGGACTGTGTGTGTGTGTGTGACTGTAGTAAGGGTGACTCGGAATGGTCACAAGCACGGAGAAGGGGCCGTGGCGTTGTGATGGGACGAATGACGAGCGTGGAGTCCAAGCTTTGTTCGCTAGAATCGACTCAGGGGACAGCAGAAGGAAGAAGCGTGCGAAGGTCCGAGCTGACGTGACGGTGAAGTAGGAGTGTGCTGCGGTGGTTGCAGTGATTGGTGGTGCAGGGTGTTGGCTGAAGAAAGGCGGCAAGTCGTGATTGTTGTGATGGACGAACAAAGGGCAGGGCGGATGCTGGTCTGAAGGAAGGATGTGATGGACAAGAAGGATAGCGTTATTGAGGTGGAAGGATGAGCAACACGTCGAGGAGGGGGGAGGGGCAATGCTTCCTTCTACAGTCACAGTCCCATTTCAGAGTCACAGTCACACAGGTATCACTCAAAGGGTGACTGACGGTCACGGTTATGGTACGCACAGCCAAGCTTTCGCAGCGAGGGGCTAGCTACATGCAGCAGCAGCATGAAGCAACACCTCGCAGTCCGTCACGCAAGCAGGGAATCAAGGGTTGCAGCTCTAACGTATGGCGGGGTCCAACGGAAAAATGATGAAAGGCACCGCAGCTTAGGCTGTGTGCGGATACAAGAACTGAGCTTAAGCAGACGTTCATGTCGACGACGATCAGCAGTCAGCAGAGCACGCAAGAAGGTACGAGGATAGTTTTGAGGGCGTAAGGGCAGCTTGATGCAGTGGCCGCGGAGCGAAGCAAGGGAGGTGCGAAGATCACGACACGCAGATGCATCACGCAACGGCACGGCAACTGCACCGCACTGCATAGCACAGCACAGCACAGCGAGGTACGAGTCAGAGGGGCTGCTAGGGTCGAGGCACGTTTAGCATAATCCCAGCTGTCAAAACAGCTGCTTTTTTTTTTCATAAACTTTTTTACATGAAATCGCGTCGATGAGAGGGATGAGCACGAAAATGAAACAGAAAAGACGAATAAATGAAATTTCGACTGTTCCGTTCGCCTGACGCTCCAGTGAGAGTCAACCGTTTTTCCCTTGGAAAATGCACTTACTGAGCGCTGTTCTCGGCGACCGATTCCTGATTCAGACTCCCAGAATAAATCTTTCTTAAGTGGGTCGCCCAGACTTTCTGATTGACTTGGCTTTCGTCACTAAGGTGCCTTCCTTATTGCTAGCGGCCGCCGGACCCACATCGCTTACGATTGGAAGCCCTTTTGTTCCTGTTCCGCTCAAGCGAGGGTGCGAATGCGAGAACAGAATGAGCCAAGACCGTCCAACGTGGGGTCATGAATGGTGCTAGCCGGAGCGTTTTCTTTTTTTTTGATGTGGAGCTTTCGGAACAGCAAAGCCGACCCCTCGAAAAAGAATCGACGCTCAGCATGCAGGGCGAGATCACGCCAATGAGG